GTAGTAGGCTAGGTGAGTTGGGAGCGCATGGGAGAAAAATTGCCGTTTCAGCGCGCGTATATACCCCCCCTAGAAAATGAAGTAGTGGGAATATAGGTAAATATAGGTAAAAGCCGGTAAAAGTAGGAGTAAAATGGCGGAGATATAGGGAATTTTTACTGTTTCAGAGTAGCTATATACCCCCCCCCGCTCGACGGCATTTTTGGAGGAAAAAGTGGGCGGAGTTTGGTGGGTTGAGTGGTACCAGAATTAAACACGTCTCTATTTCAAGTCTCTGTTTAAAGCCTTCCTCGGCGTTTTTGTCTGCTTTAATTATCAGTCAACCCTCCATCTAAAACTGTTATCATAGCGTGATCTAAATACAAAGTGCGACAGTTCGTGTCGCTTAGGCAGATGTCAATCTTTGTAAATCGAGCGATTGGCTAGTAACGAAACCGCCGGCTTTACACAATTCCAACTTTGCTGCTGGAACCGAGTTAGATGTGAAAACGGAAGAAAATAGTGCATTAAATTTACTGTAGGTGTCACAAACTGTCCTACACCTGTCCTCCCCCCCTCATTGAGTGGACCCCTGTGTGACCACCTCATTATGTACACAAGCAACATAAAACATATGATTTTATTAAACCGATATTCCACCGAGATTTTACGCCTGAAATACGGTTAACACGTTCTAGTATGCACATGATACAGTTGTATATCTGGCTATATACAGTCAAGTGAGAATGGAGGCGAATACAACTAATAACCTCTGGGACAAATCTATGCCCGGTCATGAAAAATATATATATGATAGTTAGACAATGAAATTGAAGACGTAGACCAGATAAAATCTCCACGTAGTGTTTTACATCAGTACCAAAGAGAACTATGACAATATCTGCAGTTTTCACAGGTAGATGACAGAACAATATATAAAACACACATACACAAAAACTAGAACACTTGTGACGATCACAACTCTTGAGGCAATTGATTCTTTTCAACACATACCAAAGCATGGGGAACATTAACAGCAATGTTACACATACATCCGAAAATATATGTGACAACCTAGCCTGTTTGAGAAAGGGTACCCCATTATGGCGATTGGTGACATAAACACACACGCGCCCACAAAAGTGACGCGGGCGTGTCTAGTGTTGCAGCGTGCGTACGATTTCACCTTAAATTCACCATGGCGAACACCCGCTTTTGAACGATTGTCGTCGCCCAATCGATATAGTTTAAAACGCCGTTTTTACTTTGAAGGAAGCGGTCGAAAAGAATAGTTTAGTAGATTATGGTTACATTCAAACAATTCTGTGAGAAAGTCCATGGCAGCAACAGCAGCAAAGTTAGTAGCGATAACAGCAGCATCAAGTACAACAGAGCAGCATCACCGGCAGCAACAGTAGTGGTGTCTTTAGCACGTTTGTGCATATGGTTTACACGTAAGTACAGCTGGTGTCGGGTGTCCACCCCAACTGCCACTTTTCGACGATGGAATACGACTCCACCGCTGGGATGTCGCACCGCCGGTGTCGTCCCCACAGCCTGATGAGGCGATGTGAGATGGACGGATCTAGAACGAAAACCGGTTGGAGGGTTGAAGAAAAGATAACAAAATAAGTCAAGTATTGTAGTGCGTTGAATCCGCGACGATCAAGAAGGATCTAAAAGAAGTTATGGCCACAGCAGAGGACGCCCTGGACAGAGTAAAGTGGCGACGACTGATAAAGACAGCGGACCCTGCGACTGCGCGGGACTAACGCTAGGGAGAAGGTGAAGTAATAGATGAACATTATTTCGTCCGATAATGAAAGCAATTGTGGCGATTGGTCTACCAAAGACAAAAGGATGGAGAAAAGCGGTAAAAATCCTTGAACCCATACTGCGCGCTGATCGCGTTGGCGGGTTCTGCGCATGCCCAGACGGGAACCTCACTGATTGGCCTCATCTATTACTGTATTTTACCGTATCAGGAGAACGTCTAGCCAGTGAGGTCCTTTATGGGCGGAGTGCAAGCTACGCCCATACAGTGAGCGTGTTATACGTTAAGTTGTACAGGAGCATTTGTTGTTTTTCCATCACTGCTGAACTTACCCTAAGAAAATCCATTTTTTAATGCAAAAATTCATGCTCATTCAATCACGCATGATTTTATGAGGGAAAGCTTTTTAGCAAGAAACGAAGTCCCTTTTTGAAATGCGCACCGTACTATACCTCTATTCAGAATTGAAATTGCATTTGTAGGATATAACAATGTGCCGTCACCTGCGAGGGGCTGCCTACGTACAATTCATACAACTCAGCGTTCTTGTCCTAAACGAGCCTGGTACTAACCAGACCAAGGATTGGTGAGCTAGGCAAAATTTGGTCCTGAATTTGACTCCCGACCACGCGCGCGTAGTAATTGGTGCCATTTGTTACTAGACCTCCTCCTCCCCCGCACCATGACACAGTGAAAATAAAAATAATAAAATAGAGAGATTGGAAGTTGCTACATCAAAGGGAGGGAATAAATACGATGTACGTCATACTCGCGCAATTTCGAGATGCTATTTTCTTATTGACCAATTTAAAAAATGAACAACAGCTTCAATATAAACGAATAGACACCAACCGTTTGTACCATGTTGTTGATTAGCTGCTGATCTTTACTATCAAGTAGGGCGAATGTTTTACTTAGCTTTGACAAGTGAGCCATCACAAGCGCGCACTGCGGCCGCAATTCAAGTTGACCTGGAAAATATAGGCAAATGAAGAGAGCAAAACAGGCCGAACAAAGGATTCAAATCTCCTCCATCTTCTATATCCAACTACCATAAACTAAGTTCAGTAGACAATTTTTAAAAACGACTGTGAGGACGATGATTGGCACACGCCGCTGGGAAATGATTAATTCCTCGAAGGAACATTCAAACAAAGCAAATCATGACTAAGCTTTTAAGTCACGCTTCTGTCTGAAACACTCTGAGCGACAAAACTGACGAATTCAGTGAGGAACACCTCTTACAACGAGAAACAAAGGACTGCCTACAAGAGCCTCTCTGTATCCCAAAATACTTCATGAGTACAAAAAAATTATGTGAAAAAATAAGTATTTTTAGTAAAAATCACCGACAAACTCTTAAGGCTTGACTCACCCAACTCATCCCAGTGTTTCAATGCTAAATGCCCGCAACAGTGCCATAGAAGGCGGATAACCCGTCGGATATGGGACTCAAAATCACCCGAAAATTGATTACCTGAAAAAAAAAACAATTATTATTCAGCTGCTTCGTTTCGGAATACTCTCACTTTTTCAGTATGAATATCACTGCCACCATGTGACAAGATAAGAAAGATAGAAACTTAACGACTTTTCTGTGACAAATATTATGAAAGACATCTTTCATAATCGAGTCACAGGAAAATGCAAACATACGTCATTTCAAAAGCAAACAGCAAAAATTCGCAAGAATCATGGTAAGATAGGTTGCCGTAAACACATGCAATGTCAACATACCGTATTTGGTTGGGAACAGCTCTTCACTTCTGCTCGCCTTCTCACAAAATGACATCACACAATCCATATATTGCATTGCTGAATAGAGATGCCTCTTTCCTCGCTCATCGATATAATAGGCTTTACTGAAAACATGAAATTGAATTATTTTAGAAATTCTGTCACCGTGAGGCTTCGCTGCTTCCATACAACTACTAAATTATGCGAATAACAAAAACAAATAAAGTTATAAAAAACAATTACTCACGCCGTCCCAGGATAACTCATGTACTGGCAGGTGGCTGGGGTACATAATTCGGATAAACTTCCACATAATGCGTTTACATGATCGAATAATGCCAATGCTGAAAATTTCAGAGATCACATGTCCGAACCACCTACTAAGAGCATCCAAAATTCCCACCCCCGACTTCGGATATAGATTTTTTACACAGCGACCCCTACTCAAGATGTCGGAATCATACAAATGCACCTTTGATATGTAAAAAAAAATTAAGAACCCTAGCGCAAAGTCTGGTAGGCACTGAAGGGCTGAGAACGGATAAAAACTAGCTCGACAAGCCAAATTCAATAAAATGGCCGTGAAAGTGGTAAACGAGGCTTCCAAACGATGAGCTATACATGCAGCCAGGGATGATTGCACGGAAAGGAAGTTCATATAGAATTGCCCCCGTGAAACATTTGAATGTCGTGCGGCAGTCGCAAGATCAAACAACAACGTTCAAACATCTTCTCAAACAAAATCCTGTCTGTGCTTGCCGGAAACGTGGATCGCGACAGCACTGCTGTGTCAACCGCTCTCTTCCTGCCTTTGTACTTCAGGATAGCAAAAAAGGAGAGCTAGCCCTGTTAAAGACAACAGTCGGACCAATTCAGAGTGGCTGTGACTATGTCTCACAATGTTCGGATTTGCCAACTATTGTTAGCGCTGAGGTGAACAGTGAAAACAGTAACTTGAAAGTGTCAAAGTAAAGCTTTGAACTCATTAAAATACCGGCTCCGACCAGCTGAACTCAATTGCCGACTATTATTCCCGACAATTCTAACTTCTTAACAATGGAGAAGAGGTAAAAAGAAAGTGTTCATAATTTTTTGCGTTTCTGATACGCTGAGAAGCAATGAGTTTTATGCAGAACCAATCCAGATGGCGCTAAATTTGAGGAATGGATGAAACCACCACTTCCCCTTTCCATACAGAAATTTGTTTACTCTCTCTCTAATTTTATTGGGATAACAACTCTTGTGTCTTGAAACGCATTTCGGGCTCATGTAAACTGAGCTTGGGAATTCACCAGTTTCGATACTACTAAGTTTAAAATTCATAAAAAGAAAACGGCACTATTTACCCTTTACTGTCTCAACCCTCAATCTTTATTGAGCTAGATTTTAGCCGAAATTCGGGCGCTAGGGCTAGGCGTTCCCGCGCAAAACGATTTTAACAATCGTGTATTACTGGTCAAATTACCCCCGACGACAATTTTCTAACCAAATCCACGAAATTTCTCTTAAGCATGGAGAAATTTTGATAAAAAAAATCCTGCTCAGTTTTCAAGGAGTGGGGCAGTCGAAGGTAAATAGTGCGAAAAAAATTTCTTACTATGTGTTGCTAGCCATTCACGAGGATCTATACCAGGCGGAAGTGCGGTGAATTTCTCGATCACCTGAAATCATTAGTCAATAGCACTTGAATATTCGCTATCAAAGAATGATCGATTCTAAAGCATTGCAGAAAAACAGTTGAGTTTCAATGCCTGACCCAAGAAAGTCCCACTTATAGAAGTTGCTACCACTATGTACCATTTGTCAGAACATATGCTGCGTATCCGTCGTGGATAAGGCGACTAGACTAGGTAAACCTTTGGTGGATAATCGTGACCACCAGTTGTACACTCTCTAAGAGCTCACCCTCTTTCAAATGTGCATCAATGAGACGCGGCTAAATATGGCGTTTATGACTGATTAGGTAGCACTATGGAGCTATGCATTTGAATAAGTTAATAGACCCAATTAACTTGATGCATAACAAGTAAGCGAAACCATGGCAGCCCACTAGACGACAACAATGTTGCTAGTGGGTATTGAATTGTACACTCTATGAAGTGGGCCGAGAACGATTTTGCTAATATGAAAACATTTGTCTGATCCTCTTATATTTCACATATTAATCTGGTCAGGGTTTAGCTTCGAACTGAAAAGCCGTGGAGAAAATGGTCATAAAAAGGAGAAATATGCAATACATGAATTCAAATAAATAAAATACAGTAGTTAAAGGAATCGCTCACGAAAAATTACCGCATTTTTCCTGAACATAGAAACATTAACTGTGTTTACTAGAAACAACTTACCAAGTTTCAAGCAAAAAAATTCAGTTTTCAAAAAGAAAAACCATACGGGGACGGTCGCGGTACTTTGGAAGGAGACAAGGGAACGCATGGAAAAGAATGCGCCTCGAGGCGGCTACGTTTCAGGCGACGCATCGAAAAAAATCGGGTCAAAAATTAATTGATTGCAATGATATAAATTGTTATTTAAAGGATCGATAGAACAGGATGCAGTAGAAGAGGGAAGCGGTATTGGCATAGTGAAGAAGGCCAAAAAGAGTTTCTAGTGAAGGCACTCCAAGAACCAAGTGGAAGCGTTCCCGTCGCCAGCATTTGTGACAGATGTCCGGCGGGAATTTGAACGCGTAGCAGCCCTTTCGGTTTTTCGAATTTTTACCAAAACAAAGCAATTTTTTGTTCTTTTCGTTCTTATCGTGGATGATGAGTCTCAAGCCAGTGATTTATGGCTGAAGATAGAATCATGGTTTTCAGTGACAGATTTCTTTAAGGGCAAGAGAAATGTAAATAAAGTAAAGTAACTGGTACTAACATGGTCTTCTATAGAATCACACACGCACAACTCCGTTGACTGAGATTTCCTCGTCGATGACCGTTGTGCTACTGATGCACTAGCAACACGTTTCGTTTTCGCATCCTTCACATCTCGTCGCCGTGATCGACTAAAAAAATAAGTAAATTGCATGAAAATTGAAAAATACAAAAAATAATACAAAAGGACTAAGGGACCAGTATAGTATATTCGATCGATTACTCATTGTACTACCTTCATACTAGCCTCGTGTTGCAGTTGCAAAGAAAACAACACACACAATCGATAGAATATACATGTGTAACACAGGAAAACGACACTCTCTTCAGTCCAGTTTTCCGCTTTTTTATTGGGCACATTATCAAGGCGACAACAGCTATGACTCTGATCGTGCAATTGATCACGGGTTACAACAGCCACGAGTACAGCGAAGCGCTCCCTACTGCCTCCCTCTTTTACTTACTTTATAAAACAGTCAGCAATTTATTCACTTGTCAAACGACTGAATGGAAGAGCAAACGTAATACATATTGGTGGGTATTTGTGTTTAATATTGCAAGAAAAAAAAACATTAAAATTTGAAACCACTCCACCAAATTAGGGAAGAATATTCAATGATAAACCAAGAAAACTACTGTATTGCCTCCTTACCTTGGAGGCCATCTCGAGTATCGTATCAGTAAGTATCAAAATTGTAAAGCACACTATTGTACCCTCTTTTCAGGAACCACAAAAACCACGTAAATAGCTACGTAGTTCCTTATGGTACTCTACGAACCTGCGTTCTTTCCTTTTGATGAAATTACATCCATCAAATAGCTGTTTCCATTCACCGAGTACGGTACGAATTGATGTGAAACGTCCAGAATCGGATGCACTCACTGGTGGATGACTGACTACATCGGCTGTCATCAGATACTGTAAGGCACGTAACTTGCGCCCAACGTTTTCTAGAGGCACAAAGACATAAATTACGTTTCGAAAACACTATTGATGACTACTATAGGCCGAATACAACCAGACACAACGGCCCGACAGGGAAAATTGTCGCGTCTCGATAAGCGATAAGAAGAAAAAGCAGCACACTGTACGGAATTAGACACAGCTAGCAATTTTATCTGATAAACAGAATCGCCGAGAAAAATTTGAATTGAAAAAAATGCAGGGGAAGGAATGCGCTTGAAAAGTTTGCAGAGGAGATTGCAGCAAAACGAACAAAACGAACAAGAAAGCCTGGATCAGAGCACTGGAAAAGATCATTGGGAAAACAGTTGTGAAGAAAGGAGAAAGAGATACACCATTCAAACAATATTTCCACTTTACACCCTTCGAAACGAGGTTAAAAGCTACTTCAGTCTTTATAAAATTGCTTACAAGTGTGGATGAGAAATCTTCTTGTCATTTCGAAGCATATTTTCGCAGGTGTGTCACAAATTTTAAACATACGAACGGTCTCATTTTGACTGGAAAACGTAATTTAGATGACAAATAATCTTTCACAAAACTACCCCACGTTTTAGTGAAACAGTCGAGGCCGTCTATGAGGACCCAGACTAACAACCGTCCAACCCTAACCCGAGTGAGATCGAATGGACATCACGATCCGATCGAACAACTGGTTAACCCTACTAAGATCGAATGAGTCACCATGCATTCTTAAGATGAGCCTTCTGCCATAACATCTTATCCCCTAGATATCGAAAAGTCGTTAGTAGAAATAATATAATATATTACTTCAGACTCATCCTCACTTGAGCTCACTGTTGGAAGATACGCCTATATGGGCATGTACAAACCTCAGGACCACAAGTATAGCTTACAGGAGTTGTGCATGGCAACTACTTACAGCTTTAGGTATAGCAGGAAAGGATTTGGGAGCATCCGTTTGGAAAACCTACAAATTGGAAGTGTGAGCACAACAGGCCAAACTTCCCTCTAAAAAATTAGGACTGAAATGGATGCAATACGTATCAAAAAGAAACTAAGAGATGGGTCCAACTAAGAGGAACGCAAAAAGTTCGTAAAGACCAACGTAGGTATTGATCGAGAAGCAACGACAAACTTCTGATAGAATCTTCCACATCACGGGAGAAAACGAATAAATGAACGGAAAGGTATAGATTAAATTTCTCCAATACAACTACACGCCAGCTCTGTGGGGGTAAACTCAAGGCGTAGTTTTTTTTTGTTCAACCTATGATATTTTGTAAACATCAACAAATAACAGTAACGCGGACGGACGCAAGACACAATTTTGCGTTTTTCAGGCCTTCATTCGCCACGAATAGAAGTCACGCCGAATGCGGAATACAAATGGACGAATAACTGGTTATTCAGGTAGGTATAGCGGAGGCAGGTGAAACGTCAGCGTTTTGCTGCATGACGCACGCCAAGGTTCATTGTTGCACGTCGGCGATGAACAGTTCGATCAGCTTGAAAAGGACTATTGCTACATCGATCGGCTGCATTTGCGTCTACCTCCCGGCTTGTGGTGTTGTGATAAAATACAAAAGCACGTCAGAATGTCGACAACGCCAAGACGAAAACCGGAACACACCGACTGACACACTCAGAGGAGCGAGGAGAGAACAAGAATAGCCACAACATCACGCGTCGCATCGACTGTTCGCCAATGAGACCAACTGGGTATGCACGGTAATGCAGCATCGACGTTACAGCAGTAACTCACAAACCGGAATCAGGACAGTTAGACATGATTGGATTCCAAATTTCAAGACAACACTCACTCAAAAAGGTCTCTGCTCAGATTTGCATAACAACCACATCACCTGGGGATGAAAAGGCGAAAACCTCGTATCAATCAACACTTGTGAAATACTACACAAACTCTTTTCATTGCTGATCAAAGATTCATTAAGCCTATAAGACCTACACAACATCCTGGAATTCTGCTGATAATAATTCTACTCAAATACATTTGAATTATTCCATGCACTTGTAGGCAGGGAATTTGACTTATCTTTTTCTAACTCTACCGGAACGTCATAAGCGGCCTACTAGCGACATTTCTACTCCTAACTAATGTTGTAATCACATTATAATCAAATTCAAGGGCGGCATTAGTGTAATGCTGGGGTTATTACGCGAGCGGTCCGGGGATCAAATCCTGGGTCGTGAGTCGCCCGGGCCAACCAAGCCTTCCATCCCTCCGGGGTCGGTTAATTGGTACCAGACTTGTCTGGGAGGATAAAAACACTGACTTGTACATCGGCTGGCCCCGCAAGTCATTGTATAGGCCACATCGCATTCAAATGCCACTACGAATGTACAAATGGAAGTAGAATGCGTGCCGCATCCCAAAACGGGATTGATCAACGGCAAATGCTTCATCCTTTTTTCAAATCAAGCAAGGCAAACGTAAACAAGCCGATAGAACTCAAGAGAGATTGCAGTAAAAAAAATCTCCGAAAAAAAAAGAAACTAGGGGATTAATGTTTAAATGTTCGCTGTTTCTTAGAAGAGCCATTGAAGAGAAGCAGAAATGGAATAGAAAACGCGTCCGCACAAGACGCCGGTTTTAAAGAATCATATGCGATTCATAGGAGGTTTCGCTGCATAAAAAATACAGTATTTCTCTATACATATTCATTTGCTACGATAATTTCGAACGATTTCTTTGCAATGCATATTCGTGAAAGGAATAGCGGGGTCGCTCAAACGTGTTTTCTTGAATGACATATGGCGAGCGCATTGTGGCATCGGGACTAGTGGGACCGAGAGAGAAGCACATGGAATCAGCATGCTTGATGTTGTTTCCGACTCAAAACTTTTAAATATCCCCCTGATGTGCCATTCTAAGAATCTAAATGTTGTCTTACCAAAGAGTTTCCGAAAGTTTATGCTAGAACACTTTTGGTGCCTCTTTATATATTGAAGAAAAAATAGAGAGAAAGGTCAAGGAGAAAAAAAACGCAATAGCAGGAAAAACAGAAGAAAATTGATAGAATGATGGAAAAAAGACCAAGAATACCGAAGAAGAAAGGATTCACAGCTCTCAAAACGTAAAAACCTATGCTATACCTATTTCCTACGAGTATTTCCAATTATTTTTCTAGTATTTCCAATTTTCCATGTTAGGCTGATGTCAGAATTTGAGAATCGAAGCAATTCGCTAGCGTAAGCGGTCGCGTTGCGGTGCTAGGGAATCGCTCAATTCGCAAAGTCTGACATCGGCCTTTACACATTGATGAAAGCATGACGCGCATGCGCGTCTGATCTTCACGCAAAGAGGCATGGTTTTGCACGACCCACTAAACAGTTTTATGTTAGAAATTCTCTACATCATTGTATCTGGAAAAACTGCACCTACTACCAGTAATGAATTCGAAGGAATGGAACTGGTGAAAAAACATCGAAAAAAGATGCCGATGAGCACGCACAACGAGATGTCGTCAATGTGTTAATTCACCAAATCCATTCACTGTAGGGTTCAAAATAGGAAATTGGGTTCACAATGAAGATGAAAATAACAATTCTTATATTTAAAAAAAGCCACAATGCTTTGCAAAAAGGAGCAGAAATAATTTAGAAAGAAAAGGATGTCACTAAGTGAATTTTAGGCGGGTTAGAGTTGGTTTTTTGAAGCTGCTCCATACTACGTTCCACGACCCAATACAGAGTATTACGACTCTCCTGTAGTCGATCATCAAATATACGTCAACCTGTACTTTGACAACCATTCCTCGACCTTGACCAAGAAACGCAGCTAAACACACTGCGACTTCCACCTTTGTGAACCAACCTCCACAATTTACTGTGGATGAACTACCTACTTCTACCAATTGCTCACCAATTCCTCTTTATATAATCTCATCAAAAACTTCAGCACCAAGTCAACAAAGTTATGGCGCAATAAAAAACGCGGGAAATCGCATACTTGGTTTTGTGCAGCAGAAATGGCGTAGCACTTCAGCTGGGATTATCTACATGTCGGGGAGAAACCTTCTCCGATAAGTAAATGCACGCCTCATCGATGAAGGAAACGAAAAGTTGAATAAACGTTATTTTGGATGTCTGAGGCTTTACTAGCAGAAATTTGCCTTCAAGATAGGATAAAACAGAGCCAAGCTCTGGGAGTGAAACCGGCACGAATGATGAATTCCTTCTTCTCAGGAGAAGCACTGCATCTATCCTATAGACGTCTTCTGTGGAAAAGTCTCCACGTTTCACTTCACAACCTTGTGAACCGTGATGTTTCACGAAGATTCTAACGTATCAAATGTAACTCGCCAAATTCCTACTAAACGACTCACAGAAAAATCACCAACTTCTTGATGAACAGATGAAGCATTGATGGAGAGAGGATGACTAAGGGAAAGGAATGCAAGAACATGGGAGCAATTAGGGATGGAATCTCGCGGAACTGGTCGCTTGACACGCGTCACTGCTTCCACTCTATGTACATGACTACCGACAAACATATGATACAAATAAAGCGTTTTTTCAATGAGAATTGTAAAGTGAAACTCTGCCGTGACCTTAGAACACAACCACATATTATTTCTTCACAAACATATTCAAAGGAGAAATTAAACAAAAAAAATGTGCACTGTGAGAGAAAGAATGAAGATTCTTTGAAAAATCAAAAAATCGTCATAGAAAGCACCTCCTCATGACATAGCAACCGCGGATTTACTAGGAAGCTAAGGGGAACCGTTTCCTTCCAATTAACTAGACTAAAAGAACACAAGATAAAATTAAGGAACTTGACTAACGGGTTATAATTTCAATGGTTTTGACATTGTCACTTACGAACTTTCTGATTTATTCTAGGTAATTAAAATAAAATTGTTAGTGACATCCATTTTTTGTAAAATAGGTAAGAAGTACAACTTCTGCTGAAAACTTCCATAAGTAATAGTTTTGGCATTGTCCTACTCCGAATAACAGTT